CTTGATTGTTAAGTTGTGACCTGCACTGATTAGCCCAATGAAAGCCTTTACCACAGCGGGGACACTTTTGGGTTGGAAGTTTAGTGTTGGCATTTTTGTTGTTTAACCTATGACAGTCCTTTTTAAAATGTCCAGGTTTACCACACCCAAAACAGGTGGCAGTGGATGGATGGAGAGCTGCCGCTAATACTTGTGCCTAATGAGTTTCTGTGCCAACATTTTGACATGCTCTAATCATTTCAGCTAAATTAAGATTCTGTGCCTTTAAGGGGGCTAAAACAGCTCAACAGTCAGCATTAAAATTTTCGTAAGCAAGCTGGAGACAAAGAACTTCAGCCCCTTGTTGATTATCTACCTGTCGGAAAATGGCTGTTTGAAGGCGGTTGATAAAATCAACGTAAGCAACGTAAGGCTCGTTTGCCACTTGGCGAATAGTGGCGAATGAGCCGGTGGGTGTTCTGGAATCAGGGATTTTACTCCAGGCTTTGGTGGCAGCATAGGAGGCTTGACTGAATGCTTGCCTATTCATCTGACTCTGGGCCTGGGGAGTGGAATGATTCCCAACACCCAGGAGCTTGTCAAGACTAACAGAGATATTATGCTTAAGATTGTCCATGGCATAAAGGTTACAATGTTCCTTGTATTCTTGACTCCATACGCTAAATTGAGCAGGGGTTAAGACTATTCGCATTAAAACGTTCCAATCCCAGGGGGTCATCTCATAGTTTTGTCCTATAGCTTCTACAATTCTTTTGTAAAGGAACACTGTAAACCATTCTCTATCACGCTTTTACGGAGTTCTTTAAAAACTTGAAAGCCAAGGCCATCGTGACGGGGCGGTCCTGCTCCCCGAATGACAGGATAAGCAGAAAACCCCTCTTTCTCACAGCCCTCTCGCAAACATCTCTCCATAAGAGACTCATGTTGTGAGAAATCAGCCTTGGGAGGTGCAGAAGGAGGAGGGTCATAAACGTTTTCTTTACTAGGGGAGGGAGCCGAAGGAGCTGCCTGTAAGGACTGCAGGGCAAGGCGACAGTGGTGCCAAGCAATAAGAACTGAAGCTGGGATGTTCATGTCACGAATGATGTTACCAATACGTTCCCATGCTTCTACATCAAGGTTTCCCCGCAAGGGATACCAAGGACAGGCAGATTCAATTAAAAGCAGAAGTTGGGTAAGAGCTTCTTCTGACACCTTAAGCTTAGAGGCCTTTAACAATCCTAACAACTGGGTTTTACATTGACGCTGTTCAGAAGAAAGAGAATTCCCCATAGCGAGGAGGAATAGGAAAATGAACAAAAGAATGATAGGAAAGCTCCTGGCCTGAAGCCTGAAATCCCTTGAGAGCGCTCGGGAAAGTCCCGTCGCCCTTGGGCTGTAAACCCAGCCTGAATTGAGAGCATCTGGGCAGGCCCCATCGCCCTTGGGCTGTAAACCCAGCCTGAATTGAGAGCGTCTGGGCAGGCCCCATCGCCCTTGGGCTGTAAACCCAGCCTGAATTGAGAGCGTTCGGGAAAGCTCCTCGGAAAGCCTGAATTGGACGTCCGAAACTCACCACCTGAAGGGATTGAGTGTGAGGGTGTCTACAGCTCTGTCCTCACACGGGGCACCATCTGTTGCAGCGGTGACGGTTGTCGGGACAGCAAAGACAGTAACCAACTGCACAACTCTTACAGAGAAGTGGGGCCAGGAGGGTCACTCTGAGGAGTTGACCCCCGGCTTCAGTCCCAGGAGTTTATTTGTAGTCAATACAGCAAGCAGTGAAGGAAAGAATAGAACAGTGGGCTTTGGGTGAGTAACAATAAGTTTCGGGCAAGGGAGAAGGAATTCAGGTAAACAAGCCAGTCAGTAACAGGGCAATAGGTTTGGGAAAACAAGTCATGCCTAATCTCATTCTTATCGCTGACAAGTCTCCAACACTTAGTAATAACTACTGGTAGTTTGATGTATGATGATCTAGACTGGTGTTTAAAAAACAAAAATTACTATAATCCATAGTAAGAAACACCTTCTACATCATGACTCAATGTAAATATGTATGTGTATGTGTGTGTGTACATTTGAAACAGTACTTTTACAAACAATATTTACTCTCTGTGATTCACCCTGATATTTTCCATTCTATGCCATTAGAAGCAAAGCTAGTTGCAACCTTATTAAATTGCTTTCATGTCCTACTACTAGGCTGGAACCTTTGGTTTATAATATAGAGTATTCTCTAATACAGTATTTATTTGTATCCTTGTAACCATTCTAAATTTAAAAAAAAATTTTCTTTAATTGTGTTTTAGGTGAAAGTTTACAGCAAATTAGGTTCCCCTCATGCCATTGGTTACAGTTTTTACAATGTGTCAGCATTCTTATTATTTCCATTCTGTTCTGTTTCCATTGATCTAGCTTCCCTTTCCCTCCTTGCCTATTGTCGTGGATTGAATTTTGTGTTCTCCAAAAATATGTGTCAACTTGGCTAGGCCATGATTCCCAGTATTGTGTGATTGTCCACCATTTTGTCATCTGATGTGATTTTCCTATGTGTTGTAAATCCTACTTCTATTATGTTAGTGAGGCAAGATTAGAGGCAGTTATGTTAATGAGGTAGGACTCAAATCTATAAAATTAGGTTTTGTCTTAAGCCAATCTCTTTTGAGATATAAAAGAAGCAAGCAGAGAGACATGGGGATGTCATACCACCAAGAAAGCAGCACCGGGGTCAGAGTGTGTTCTCTGGACCTGAGGTTCCTGTGCAGAGAAGGGGCTACACCAAGGGAACACTGATGACAAGGACCTTCCTCCAGAATCAACATAGAAAGTCTTCCCCTGGAGCTGGCGCCCTGAATTCGGACTTCTAGCCTACTAGCCTGTGAGAGAATAAATTTCTGTTTGTTAAAGCTATCCACTTGTGGTGTTTCTGTTGTAGTAGCACTGGATGACTAAGGCTTCTATTAAAAAAATTTTTTTTTTTTTGCTGTTCCTCTCTCTGTTTGTAATCAAGTTGTGCCCTGTATCTAGATTTGTCTATTCTTTCATTACCATTTATGCAACTCTCTGCAACTGAAATAAATTGTGGCAAAATCTTGTTAACTGTTGAGTGTGGGTGATTGGTATATGGGAGTTCACTGTACTGTACTCTTGTATATGTTTAAAAAGTTTAATAGTTTTTAAAGCCCATCACAAAACTGAAGCTAGTAAAAGAAAACAAAGACCAATGTAAAAATCTTTCATTATATGTCAAAGTAATATCCATGCAAGAGCTGAAAATCAGAGTAGACTGCATCCCCTGTCCATCTTGGTTCACACAAGATTGAGTCCAAATCACTTTAGGGGTTGGGTTTAACTAGGTAATAGCTTACTTTTCCCTAACTGATATAACTTAAACCATCATTTGACCATGAGTTGTTTTTTTTCTGCTTGAAATGAGAAAATGCTAGCTTTATCTCTACATCTCTTCTTTAGTGAGACAGTTGCTTGTTGCTTTTTTATGAACTAGTATAGTTATTGGAGTTTTGGTGGCACAGTGGTTAAGATTTAGCTGCTAACCAAAAAGTTGGCAGTTCGAATCCACCAGCTGCTCCTTGGGAAACCCTACGAGACAGTTCTACTCTGTCCTATAGGGTTGCTATGAGTCGGAATCGACTGGATGGCAATGGTTTTTTTTTTTTTTTTTAGTGAATTTACTGGTTTTCTGTGGACCACAACAGCCCTATCCGCAACCAATTATGGGGATGGCGCAGGAAAGACAGCTTTCCCTCCGTTGTGCATGGGGTCGCCATGAGTCGGGCGACTGGAAGGCAGCTAACAACAAGACTTACTAGTCTAAATTTCGTGATTTGGGGCTGTCTAAATAGTTTCGGTAGACTTCTGCGATTCTTTTGGTGCCCTGAGTCTGTGAAGAAAAAAAAGGAAATGCTCAGGTGTATTAGATTAAAACCAGCCAGCCCTGGGGGTGGAAACGTTTGCAGGTGGCTAGGCACCCCTTGGAAATCCAGCCTTTGCGTACTGGCGAAGCCCCCACGATGAGAGACTGGTGGTCCGATCAGGGTCTGTCCCTTGGGCTCCTCAAACCCAAGGTCTCCTGCGCGCTCCTTTCCTTCTCCTTACCCTCCCAGTGGAGGCGAAAAGACAGCGAGGGCGGGTTTTCTCTCTGGCCAGCTGCGGACTCCGCGGCATCCCGCCCAGCCCGCGATGCAGTCCTCCGCGAGCTGCGCGCCCCTCCCTGCCAGGCGGCCGGGGCCGCCGGGGCGTCCTCCCGCCGCCGGGGGCGCTGTGGACTACGGCCGGCCTGGCCGCAAAGCCGTGGCGGCGGCCGCGGGCCTAGAAGGAGAGGGCTGCTGACGGGGCTGGGGGATCCCTCACCCGAGACCGCGCCGCCGCCGCCGCCGCCCCCGCCCCCGCTATGGGTAAGGGGAGCGGGCCGGGAGCAGACGCTGCACTCTTCGTTCCGGGCTGAAGGCCGCGGCCGGGCGAGGAGAACCTCGGGGCACTGGGGTCGCCGGAACGGAACTGGGGCCCGAACCCGGGCTTGGGGCCGGGCGGGGGTGGCCCAGGACTCGGGGTCGCCCAGGGTCGCCATGGCAACGCGCAGCGGGCCCTGGCTTCTTTCCTTCCCAGCTCCTCTTCTGGAGTCTAGTGGGCGAGCACTCGTGGTCCGACGGCTTCCAGCGAACGAGGGCAGAGCCGGCCGGGTTGCCGCTCCGAGGCTAGGGGAAGAGTCGAGCTCGAACGATGACTTTTCGGGTTTGGGGGTGGCGGAGGGCAGACGTATCTCAGATTCCGGCGTGGGTGCCCGACGCCGAGGGCGGGAGCTGGGGAGCAATACAGCGCTCGACCCCGGGTGAGCCCTCGGCGAGGGTGGGTCCTGGGGGCGTCCAGACGCCTTTGGGCACCCTTGTTGGGAGGGAGAGAAGGAAGCAGGGAAGGGGGGCAGGCCCGGGCGAGATGCGAGACTGGCCCTTTGCTTGGTCACGCCGCGCACCTGCGGCCGGCCTGGGGGTCGCGTTCAAAGGGTGACACATCCCTGACCCCGACTCGAGCCCAGGTGCCGTCGCGGTGTAAGGGCTTCTCGGCGTGGGAACTGCCAGTGCCTGGCAGGGACCTGCAGTGGAGCAGCTGCAAAGCCGCCCTTTGTCTGGTTGTCGCATCGAATGTTACGGATTGTGATGGGCGCTGTTAAGAAAAATGAGAATCGCCACAGATTATGGAACACTAAATGGTTTCACTCCCGAAATAAAGGAGTCAATACGACGATGCAGATTTGAAAAAAAATGATGTCCTATGTGGAGATTTTCCAGCAAACAGCTTGCTTATAGCAGTTGTGGCTGTTCGCGTTTTAAGTTGCTTAGGATTCAGTGTCAGGCGTCATGCCTCGCTGAGATCAGAACTAGAATGCTAGATCATTGGGATCGCTGAATTTTTGTTCAGTGAAGGAAAACTAGATGCTGTGCTTACTTGGACTGGTAAATCAATCTAACGTTTAATAATGTCTGACAAACGGCTGCATTTTTCTGCACCTCGGTTTTGCCATCTGTTTACTGAAAATGTTCCTGTCAGTGGTAACAGTGATGCAGTGGTGAAAGTATGAGGAAGCATCTGAATTCCTAAGGACAGTTCATGGGACTGAAAAAAATGTTTTTGTGGATTGAAAATATTAATTAAAAACGAAGTTGTTTTTTTTTTTTTTTTTTTTTTAGTTTTAAGGTATCTGTTAGCTTGGTGTTCAAACCGAAACAGTGGGCATTACCAACTGTGTGGAAGGGCAGGGAATTTTAATGTGAAACTGGTCCCTGCTTTTGTTTCTGCTTGAAAAATAAAGGCGTCTTGCAACACAGGACTGCAGTGTGCACTGTACTTTGCGTACCAGTGAGAATGAACAGCAGTGAAAAACAGGATGAAAGAGTTAAAGTGACGGAAGGAATTAAGTGGCTTCTCATGTATCCCCTTATTTGTCAGTGTATTTTAATTTACCTGTCGTGCTTGTTATGGTTGATACTTGAATCTTAGAATTTTAACTACCTTTTATTTTATTGCCAGTTTATTCTGAGCATTTTTGCCTTGGAATTCATCCTTAGATCGAACCTCCTGTCCACCTTTTACATGAGACCCTTAAACAGGTTTTCTGTGACGCCTAACTTACCTCTATAGAAAGTCATTATAAAAACTTGTTCTTCCTGAAGAGGTACCACAAAAGTAAAATAAATACAGGAGAATGGACAATTTCCCGGATCTTGAAAATAATTAATAAACTTTGGTTGGAGCAGGCAAGGGAGTCTTCTATGGTTTGTGTGAAAAGTTAACTAGGGGTGTAGGTCAGGTGGGAAGACGTTCAGTATTTGTCAACCAAGGAAAAGCAACCAATGTTGGTTTTATAGGGGAAGCAAAGAGTTTATGTTGTTTTCAGTGTCATGCCTTGCAAATGATGTTGCATTCCTTTCTTGTGCTTTCAGCTACAAAAGACCCCACAGCAGTTGAGAGAGCAAACTTACTAAACATGGCTAAACTGAGTATCAAAGGACTCATAGAATCTGCTCTCAGTTTTGGCCGTACTTTGGATTCTGACTACCCACCTTTGCAGCAGTTCTTTGTTGTTATGGAACATTGTCTGAAACACGGTCTTAAAGGTATCATGAGATTTTTAAAAGTCAATCAACTTTAGCAACCTCTTCTCCCTTGCCGTCTTAAACATCCTTGAAAATGTATTTTTTTGAGGCCATGATTTATTTTACTTCGCATTTAAATATATTGAGTGGTTTGATTGTGGGAGAAGATATCTTACTGCTTTATAGGAAGGGGATTGTATTTATGTTTTCTAGTGGATGGTCTTCATAAAACGATTAGTTGTTAGTGTTTTGTAAAAAGCATATTTGATTTATAAAGTTTTTCCACATACTAACTGAACTGGTTTCCATTTTCTAGGACAATTACAGGAGTTTTTTTTTTAATTTTAAACTGGTGATTCTTATATGAGCTCTATTAATAGCCCTATTGGACAAATATATTAAAATTGTTGATCGTTGAAACAGAAATCTCCTTAGTGCATGGAAGCAAGTATCTAGAAAAAGTACCTTCTGGGTTAGGCTTGTGGAAATATGAATGATCCCTGATAATGATGATAATAGCAGAATAATTGTATTCTGTTATATAGTTCATAATGAGTTATTGTGATATATAATTTTTTATATTTAATTATTTAAACATTACATAATAACCTTTAACTTACAGTATTAATGATTGTTGTTAGCTTTGGTCTCTAGTTCCTGTGATCAGCACCTGTATAGAGGGCTGTATGAATAAGAGTTGCATACTAGGGAGACTATCATAAAGCAAAAGAAGCTTGGCCGTTGTTAGTATATTAGGAACCTGGGTATGTTGGGAAGGCCTAGAATTTCTGAGTATGGAGCATGAAAGTGATGTTAAGTGTAAAAAGCAAAAAAGGAGGTTTACTTAAACATGGTTTTTAAAAAAAATGTGCTTCAAACTGAGAAGGAAACCTTGGAATCAAAATTTGAGAAATCGTATATGATGTTATTAGTATACTCATTTCTTTGTTGAAGACTTAAAATAATTTTTAAAAATTATATCAATAATAGTGAAATATGCTCCTTTTATACCCGATTCAAACAACACAGAAGCATATAGAGCAAAACATAAAGAGTTTACCGTCATTCCCTTCCATTTGTCTCCCTAAAGGGAATTTTTTTCTTTATTATAGAGTCATGCTATAAATACTATTCTGTGACTTCCTTTTTTTAAAAAAAAAAGTCTAATGGCATGGTTTGGTGAATCTTCCATTTCCATAGAGGTTGACCTCACATTTTAAAAATGCTGCATAGTATTTAATAGAATGTCTATACCATAATTTATATAACAATCCCCTTTTAATGCACACTTAGGTAGTTTCCAAGTTTTTACTATCACAAACTGTACTATAAGAGCATCTTTGGATATATATCTGTGTGCGCATGGGTAGGATTTCTTCATGAGTCCTAGAAGAGAATGATTGGATCAAAGAATATAGGCAGTTGGCTTCTATGGAGCTTTCGTGATTTACATATCAGCCAACAGTGGATGAGATCATTTGTTTCTTTACATCTTCACCCACTCTTGGTATCATCAGTCTCTAAATACTTCTTTTAATATAACAGGAAGTCACCAATCTGATCTTAAGCTCAGATTGCTTTAAAAGAAATTTGCTTTTTGAAAATCTTTTTATTTTTTAAAAATAGCAGTGATTAAAAAAAAAAAAAAAAAACAAACCCATTGCCACTGAGTCAATTCTGACTCATAGCTACCCTTTAGGACAGAATAGAACTGCCCGATCGTGTTTCCAAGGAGTGGCTGGTGGATTTGAACTGCCGACCTTTTGGTTAGCAGTCAAGCTGTCAACCACTGTGCCACCAGTTCTCTGTAACAATGATATAGAGCTTTATTTCCCTCTAGCCCACTGAAATGGAATTTGCCAGATGATGGCCGGAATAGTTCAGTTTTTTTTTTAATAGTTCAATTTTAAACTCTTTTCTGAATATTATCTTCACAAAATATAGGGAGACATGTCCTAGTATTCATAGGCTTATCTTGATGAATTATTATGAAGTTATTTTGCGCTGATTGATTTTCTCCCCTAGGGAAAATTTGCCTATCTTGACGGTTGTCCATATGACAGGTACACTGTATCTGCAGGAGATGTGGTCAGTGTTAACAAAGAATTATATGGAGATTTCATGTTTATATACTATACAAATCGCTGAATAAAATAAAAGGAAAAATAAAGCCCAGTTTTTCATGTTTAAAAGTAGGATAACTTTTTATTTGCCCTTGCTTTATTTAATAAACTTATAAAGATCAATTGGCTAGGACCTCCAGCCTTTTTGTTTTGATACCAATAAAGAATGAGCCCACTAGTTTTTTATTTTAATTACCTGCTTTCATTGGATTATAGATTCTAGGAAATTGTCCAAGACACATATTTCAGATATGGGAAAATATCAGGATGGACAACAGAATCCTGATGAACAGGCTCTTGTTCAATAGCTGTGTAGTGATTAAAAGATGGGAAGGTCTCTGAGTAATTGATTGTTAAGTTAGAAATGTTAAAACCCAAGATTACTACAATTTTGCCTGTTGTAATTGTATGTATTATATTTTATTTTTCAGTAAGAAAATCATTTTTGAGTTATAACAAAACCATCTGGGGCCCTTTGGAACTAGTGGAGAAGCTGTACCCAGAAGCAGAGGAAATAGGAGCCAGTGTCCGGGATTTACCAGGTCTTAAGTGAGTAATCTTATTACTTGTTCATCCCTAACCACAGAAATGCATTTACTATTCCTCTAAATTACCTGACACCCTAGTTTATAATCTTCTTCAGCCTTAACTGCCCTGTACTGCCCTTCTTCCATTCTCTCTTTTAATAAAATCTACTTATTCTTTATGGCACAGCTCAAATTCCATTTCCTTTATGAAGTTTTTCCTGGGCCCCTTCAGTAAGAATTAATTACTCTTTCCTTTATACTCTTATCACTATATTTCTCCTTTTACTAGGTCACTTACTTGAATGCTGCGTTGTATTTCAGGAAATTGCAAGTCCGTTTAAGATAAGATGTATGAATTATGCATCTGTTTCCTGAGTGTTAAGCTAGTTTGCACTAGCTAATTAAACTTGGCAGTTAATAACTGTTTGTTGAAGACTGAATTAGGCTGAATCCAGGCCTAAGGCTCGGGAGATTAGAGTTCTCTGATAGGACTTGTGCAAATTATTTTTCTTCCTCGATAAAATTGGGTCTTATAACGTCACACACCTTTTTCACCAGACTAAAGTATGTGTTCTGAATGCTAAAAACTGGAGTGTTCTGGCTGGCGTTGAAAATTTTTTGCATGTATAAAGTGTTATGATTCTTCTGGGTATGATTAAGGTGTATGATTAAGCTCTCCCTTTATTTTAATTCTTGTGACTGAGAATAACTTTTTTTTTTTTTTTAATTGTACTTCAGGTGAAGGCTTACAGAACAAATAGTTTCTCATGAAACAGTAGTACACATGTTGTTTTATGACATTGGTTAACAACCCCACAACATATCAACCCTCTAACTTCGCAACCTTTTTTTTTGGTGAAAATACACATAGCCAAAGATACACCATTTCAAAAATTTCTACATGCACAGTTCAGTGACATTGACTATGCTCTTCCAATTGTGCTGTTAGAGAATAACTTTTTTTATGCTTAGCATTTTTTGTCAGATTATGAGTTTGCTTTCTATTAGCCTAATTTACAGCTTAGGGTTTTGTGTGTTGTGGGGGACACAGTAGTTTTTTTTCTGGCAATTTCCAGAACATTTAAATGTTTCTATGTTGGACTTAATTGAGTGATAAAAATAGATAGCTACTATTAATCGAGCACTGCCTCAAAGTAATAAGGTAGCTGCACTGTCTCATTTAGTGCTTATATCAGTCCTATAGGACAGAGAATGCTATAATGATTGTATAGATGTGAAAAATAAAACTCAGAGAAGTTATTGTTAGTTTAGTTAAATAACGAGTGGTATTCACACTTGATGTTACAGCCAGGAAACTCTGGGGAGCAGTTCCCCTCTGTCATATAGGGTCGCTATGAGTCAGAATCGACTTCATGGCATACAACCACAATTTTTAACTGAGAGGAAAAAGGAAATTTACATTCAAAAAGGGAGATATAAGATTTGGTTTCATTTTGATATGAAAATAATACATATTTGTATCAAAGAACCACCACTTGTCTGTCAGTTTGTTGTACTGTGGTGGCCTGTGTGTTGCTGTGGTGCTGGAAGCAATGCTGCTGGTATTTTAAATGCCAGCAGGGTCACCCATGGTGAACAGGTGAACAGGGAAGGAAGACCTGGTAATCTACTTCTGAAACAATTGGTTAGTGAAAACCTTATAGAAGCAGAGCATAGTCTGATATTGCCTACAAGGAAGACCAGTTAATATGACTACTGTTCAAATTTATGCACTAACCACTGAGGCCAAAGATGAAGAAACTGAAGATTTTTACCAGCTTCTGCAGTCTGAAATTGATCAAACATGCAGTCAAGATGCATTGATAACTACTGGTGATTGGAATGTGAAAGCTGGAAACAAAGAAGGATTGGTAGTTGGAAATTATGGCCTTGGTGATAGAAACGATGCCAGAGATCACATGACCGAATTTTGTAAGACCAATGACTTATTCATTGCAAATACCTTTTTCCAGCAGCAGAAATGGTGACTATACATGTGGACCTCGCTGGATGGAATACACAGGAATTAAATTGACTACATCTGTGGAAAGAGACAATGGAGAAGCTCAATATCATCAGTCAGAACAAGGCCAGGGGCAAACTGCGGAACAGACCATCAATTGCTCATATGCAAGTTCAAGTTGAAGCTGAAGAAAATTGAAACGGGAATCGAAGTACGATCTTGAGCATCTCACCTGAATTTAGAGACCATCTCAAGAATAGATTTGATGCATTGAACACTAATGACTGAAGACCAAACAAGTTGTGAGCTGACATCAGTGACATCATAAGTGAAGAAAGATCGTTAAAAAGACAGGAAAGAAAGAGAAGACCAAAATGGATGTCAGAAGAGACTCTGAAACTTGCTCTTGAATGTATAGAGTAGCTAAAGTGAATGGAAGAAATGATGAAGTGAAAGAGCTGAACGTAAGATTTCAGTAGCTGGCTCGAGAAGACAAAGTAAAGTATTATATGAAATGTGCAAAGACCTGGAGTTAGAAAACCAAAAAGGATTTCTCAAGCTGAAAGAACTGAAGAAAAAATTCAAGCCTTGAATTACGATATTGAAGGACTCTATGGACAAAAGATTGAATGATGCAGGAAGCATCAAAAGAAGGTGGAAAGAATATACAGAGTTACTGTACCAAAAAGAATTGGTTGATGTTCAGCCATTTCAGGAGGTAGCATATAATCAAGAACTGATAGTATTGAAGGAAGAAGTCCAGACTGCACTGAAGGTGTTGTTAAAAACAAAGCTGTAGGAATTGATGGAATACCAATTGAGATATTTCAACGAACAGATGCAACACTGGAAGCACTCACTAGTCTATGCCAAGAAATTTGGGAGACAGCTACATGGCCAACTGACTGGAAGAATTCCTTATTTGTGCCCATTCCAAAGAAAGGTGATCCAACAGAATGTGGAAATTATTGAACAATATGATTAATATTACACACATGTAAAATTTTGCTGAAGATAATTCAGAAATGATTGCAGCAGTACATTGACAGGGAACCGCCAGAAATTCAAGCTGGATTCAGAAGAGGACGTGGAACGAGGGATATCATTGCTGATGTCAGGTGGATCTTGGCTGAAAGCAGAGAATGCCAGAAAGATGTTTACCTGTTTTATTGACTATGCAAAGGGATTCAACTGTGTGGATTGTAATAGATTATGGATGATATTGCAAAGAATGGGAATTCCAGAACTTTTAATTGTGCTCATGCGGTACTTGTATATAGACCAAGAGGCAGTCATTTGAACAGAACAAGGGGATAGTGCGTGGTTTAAAATCAGGAAAGGTGTGTGTCAGGGTTGTATTCTTTCACCATACTATTTCAGTCTGTATGCTGAGCATATCTGAGAAGCTGGACTATATGAAGAAGAACATGGCATCAGGATTGGAGGAAGATGCTTTAACAGCCTGAGATATGCAGATGACACAGTCTTGCTCGCTGAAAGTGAAGAGGACTTGAAGCACTGATGAAGATCAAAGACTACAGCCTTCAGTATGGATTACACCTCAACATAAAGAAAACAAAAATCCTCACAACTAAACCAATAGGCAACATCATGATGAACAGAGAAAATACTGACATTGTCAAGGATTTCATTTTACTTGGATCCACAGTTAGCGCCCATGGAAGCAGCAGTCAAGAAATCAAACGATGCATTTCATTGGGCAAACCTGCTTGCAAAAGCAAAGATGTCACTTTGAGGACTAAGGTGCACCTGACCTAAGCCATGGTATTTTCAATTGCCTCATATGCATGGGAAAGCTGGACGGTGAATAAGGAAGACCGAAGAAGAATTGATGCCTTTGAATTATGGAGTTGGCAAAGACTATTGAATATACCATTAGCTGCCAGAAGAACAAACAGATCTGTCCTGGAAGAAGTACAGCTAGAATGTTCCTTAGAAGCAAGGATACTTCTCACATACTTTGGGTATGCTATCAGGAGGGACCAGTCCCTAGAGAATGACATCATGACTGGTAAAGTAGAGGGTCAGTGAAAAAGAGGAAAGCCCTCAATGAGATGGATTGACACAGTGGCTGCAACAATGGGCTCACACATACTAACAATTGTGAGGATGGCGTAGGACCAGGCAGTGTTTCGTTTTGTTGTACATAGGGATGCTATGGGTCGGAACCAACTCAATGGCACCTAACAACAACAACATATCAAAGAAAAAAAAGCCACACTCTACAGACGTAAAATGTATTTTCTGAAGAATAATACCCATTAAAATCTTAAGCCATAAAGTTAGCTATTAGAAGTGAAGAGTAAGTTTCTTCGCACACTGCCTGCCAAAGTGTTCTCTGCATAAAATAAATAAATAAATAAAAGTGTGAGTGATATCTTTCTCTTTCAAAAAATAATACATATACATGTTTATAAAACTTGTATTTATTTTCAGTAAATGATGAAACTTGGTTAAGAGAGACATGCAGTTTAATCCCCTGACTGCAACTAGATAAAAGAAACATTTGAAAAACAGCGGCACAGTGATTTTCTCTTTAAGTAATTATCAACTTGGTACTTAGCTTTGTTAAGATTCTTTTAATTCAGATATAATGCTGGTTATTCTTTGAAGGCATTATATTGTCTTGTTGATGCATTTACGTATTCATTTTAGAGGGCTTAACCCATTCTAACAAAATGTTTCTTGTGGAAATCTTCTTAGTATATAGAGAGTCATGTTTTCAAGGCATAAACTGGTACCTGGGTGTCCTGCAGGTGTAGATTTACATTAGGCAGTTAAGTAGCTCCTAGGGATTGGTTTTCATGCTAACGGAGCTGACTTAAAACCATAAAAAGGAAAACAAAACTATGATAAAATGCATTTTCCTTTATTAATGTGTAACTCAACAGAGATAGGACATGCAGGCTGTAATCTTTGGCCTGGAACTATTTTCTAACCAGTTGATTGTTCTTTCTAGGACTCCGCTGGGTCGTGCACGGGCATGGCTTCGATTGGCCCTCATGCAAAAAAAAATGGCTGATTATCTGCGTTGCTTAATTATTCAGAGGGATCTCTTGAGGTTAGTACCATTAAACCATGTTCATTTTCATTTCATTTGTATCCTGGCTTTCAACAATGATTGAAGTTGTATCACAAAAAGATATATAAAATACAATAAGATCATATAAAATAAAAGGAGGAACAAAGTGAGGACAAAAAAAACCATGATGTAATATAACATGGATCAGGAACTGGCCTAAACAGTGAATACCCTAAGCTTCTTCACAGCCAATAAGGAGAAAAGTTATATATTTCATATTTTTAAGTTAGTTTCATTTTTCAGAATTATAGCATAATTCTATGAATAAAAATTTGTATTTGGAATTTGGTGGATTTAATTCCAAAGATTCTTTTTAGATATTGAATATCCAAACTGCTATGTAATTTGTATTGTGCACTATTTAATTAAGCCATCAGTTTAAATTGAAGGCCAAATGTTTGAGACAGAGTTTTAGAGCAAAGCAGTCAGTCCTGAAAGGAGATGGGCCCAAAGCGGCCCTCCATTCATCCTTGTTCTCTTAGAGTTTCTCTCTGTGTTCTGGAGAACGTTGTCCTGGTTTTGGCTGAACTTGTGACTCTGGTTTTACACCTAACACCTGCAATTTGTCAGTGATATTCTGAAGATTAATTAAAGTGATTAAATAATATACATGGGACATCTTGAGGAAGGCATGAGACAGTGAAAACTATCTCTCTGAATATAAATTGAAAAGTCTTTTTAGGCTGTCCTGTTTCTTTCACTTGTTTGAATACATTTTCGAATGTAAATATAAGTATCTTTAATTGATGGTTATCTATTAAGAGCATTTGTCATAGACATATCAAATGCCTTGACTCGAACATGAGCTTTGAAATGTTTTGTTTGTTCACTTTCCCACCTCAGTCTTTATCCCAGGGGTCTTACTTATGATTGAAAATTCAAGTCTAATAAAGATTGTAATCAGATCACTACCAGTCACTATGTTCTGAGAGCCAAAAACATTCTAGACCTCAGTAATGCCTTTTTTCCTGTTGGTCTCTCTTAGCTTCTTTTTTCTCTCTCTCAGATTTCCTTTTCCTCTATTATCTCCTTTAGTTTCTTTCTTTTTAGCAGTATAATACATAGGCATTTAAAATTAAAAATTTTAAATGGAGAGGCTAATTTAAAGATAACTAAGTTGGTTGGTATCTGCAATAAGGTGCTGAGATTTTAGAATTTAACTTTTGCAATAAGTTTGCAATGTAAAGTTTTTATTGTTTTAATTTTCACAGTGAATTCTATGAGTATCATGCACTAATGATGGAAGAAGAAGGAGCAGTAATTGTTGGGCTGCTGGTTGGCCTGAATGTGATAGATGCTAATCTGTGTGTAAAGGGAGAGGATTTAGACTCACAAGTAAGTGAAAGTGGTTAGTACCCATTGGAGTGTTTTCAGTTTGTTCTCTTCCTCTTTGACCCAGATACCACTCTAAGTTGTAAACAGTGCTGTTACACACTGAAGAAAATTTAAAAATGAAGTTCGGTTCATGTTAAAATTACATCTGACGTAGTACTGTTTCTCCCCTTTAAATAACAAAAACTTTATTTACTTCAGGTTGGAGTGATTGATTTTTCCATGTATTTAAAGAATGAAGAAGATATTGGAAATAAAGAAAGGTATGATTTTCTTAAGTTATTTCACAAGTTGTATTATTTTATTTAGCTCTTTACGTATGAGTATGAGGTCTACCGATCTGCAATGTAGTTTTTGTTTTCTTCTTTCTTATAGTTCCTGCTTTGTTGTATTTTCATTTCCGTTTATAAGCTTAACAAAGCAAGTTAGGGAAGATCACTTAGAAAATGGAGGCATTAATATTAAGTAGGCTGCTTGGCCATACTTTACCTGTAGTTCATGAGACCCCTTTTAACAGTCAGCTGTGTTTTGTGATAAAAGGAATGAAAGCTTATTATTCACAAGCTTATAGATGCTGGTTTATTTCAAGATATAATTGCTTTTAAATTTAAAATATACTAATGGTATTGTTAAGTCTAGTATCAGCAAGTTAATTATTCAACAAAGGTTATAGTCATTTAGTATATAGCTTACTGCTAAATGATTATAGAGGTGGTTGAGGTTTTTTTAGGGCAAGATACTGTTGTATCATAATTTTGGCTTTACAACAATTTTTAGACAATTCAGACTTTTTTTGTATGTACATGTTTTGTACATTGCCAAACTAGCACAAAGCTACTTTATTTTCCTTCTAGGAATGTTCAAATTGCCACCATATTAGACCAGAAAAATTATGTTGAAGAGTTAAATCGACAACTGAAGTAAGTATTATGGATACTTAGCAAATTTATGAATATTATCTGAGTTCTTTTTCTTCTTTCAGGTCAGTTTAATCCTATTCTTTTTTCCAAGAGTCTTTGAGAAGGGGTTGAGGGGAGAGTGAGAGAACAGAGATTAAGAATTTAGAGAATTTTTGGAGATAACTCTTTCAACAGAAAGTGAGTCAGATTTTTAAGTAGAATTTTTATAGAACTTAAATAGAATTTTAAACTTTTCTTTTATCCTTGAGAAAAGAAAGGCTAGATAGGGTGGAAATTTATAGCATTTGGATGATTCAAAAGTTCGTTTTTCCTACTTTCAAAGGACTTCATGTGTAAATATGGCTGTCATCTTTCAAGGTAGAAGTTTTCTGCTTTTTATAATGTCACTGATCATTGAAGCCATTGGAGTGAATACTCTTTTATCTTGGAAGAATTTCTGAGATCTGTATGTAAAATAATATAATGCAGTTCTGCCCAGTAGAAATATAATGCAAGCTGTATAAGTAATTTAAAATTTTCTAGCAGTCATGTTTTATAATGTAAAACATTTTAGATACAGAGAAACAAGTGAAATTAGTTTTAATAATATAGTTTATTTAACCCAGTATATAAAAAATATTACCATTTCAACATGTAATCAGTATTAAAGATTATTATTGAGATATTTTACACTCCTTTTTCTTGGTACTAAGTCTGCAAAATCCAATGGGTAATTTACATTTACATCACATTTCACTTTGGCCTAGTCACATTTCAAGTGCTTAGTAGTCACATGTGGCTCATGGCTACTGTACTGGATAGTGTAGCTATAGTGAGTAATATTTGCTGCATAGTTACAGATGGGCTATTCTCATTAATTAAGTTTAATAAGTAAGAATGGCTTTCTCTGGGTGATGGTATTGTAGATAATTTTTATTTTATTCTTTATACTTTTCTGTATTTCCTGAGTTTTATTCCGTGGACATGTATTACTTTTACAGTCAGAAAATGTGACTATACTTTTTCTATTAAAAAAAAACTAATATACTGTAACTCTTGCTTTCCCTCTGAGGTTGTAGAGATAGGAAAGACCTTGCATCAAGGGTCGTTTTTTTTTTTTTTTTGCTTAAACCATGAAGCTTTAGTAATAGATATGATAGGAAATATATGTATATTTTATAATTTGCATTCCTGAAGTTGTATTTCTAAATGCAACACTTCCTTGCTTATTTTATTTTTAAACTTCTTGGTTTTTGGAACAGGTAATACATTCACATGGTTCAAACTTCAAAAGGTACAAAAAGAACATAAAATGAAAAATCTCCTCCCCTGAGCTCCAACCATCTTGTTTCCCTTTTAAGGAGTGATTAATATATATAATAAGTTCTTTTGTATGCCCCCAGAAGTATTTTATGCAAATAAGCAAGAATATACATATATGTTTTTTCCATTTAAGGTAGCATACTTTTCACACTATTCTGAACTTTACTTTTTTTTCATTCAACAGTTTATCTTGGAGTCTGTTCCATTTGGTTCAAAAGCGCTTTCTCATTCTCAATCTTAAATGATGTGTACTAATCAGTTACAACAATGCTAGTGACTGACTTTTATATGCTTTATGCATTAAAGATGCTTCATTGTTTTTCTAATTAGAAAGTAGTTCTTGAATATTTAGAATATTTGGAAAGTGTAGAAAATGGATATAGGAGACAATAGAATTCAGCTATTTTCCTTTCACCCAAAGAAAACCCCCATTGAGAGTTTATTGCTTACTTTATTTTTTTATTGATCCTCATATAAAGGCAAGGTAAATATTACTGTTCAGTTTTATAGACAAGGAAACTGAAGATTAGAAAGGTTTTAAAACTTTATGGTTATACAGTTAGAAAATAGAAAAGCAGGGACACTAACCTTCATCGTCCATCTTCTAGGCCTGTCCTTGTCTGTCTCCATCAGGATACCCTGGTGCTGTTTGTGGAAAAGCTCCAGCAGTCAAGTTGTGACTTCTGACCTAAGAATGATTATATTAAAAGTGATTTACTATGAATGGAAAAACATTTTTCTTGTTTTACCAGTTAAATGTAAATACTTGTTTCTGAGGCTAATATAAAATTTGTATCTACTATCAATTTTACTGTAATATGTACACCATGTTACATTTTAGAAAAAGCTTGACATGGCAGTATCAAGCAGGCTTTGAACAACAGACCCAATAAAATGTACAATAATGTCCAATCTCGACCCACTTAAACAAAAATGCTAAAACCAAATGTGTCCTGTCCATGTGGTGTGACTTGACTTTTAACTGTATTTCTGAAAGACTGGATGTTTGTTTAGCTGCAGACTGGGTACCTAATGCTGCTGGATGTCTCATATTCATATTTCTCAAACCTAGGTTGACTTTGGAGGTCTCCAAGTTATTATGAAAGTGGAAAGGGAAAACAGAATAAGGCTTGGGTCAAAGACTACTCTTTACATGCTTCATTAAGCTACCTAGTTATAAAGTGGGCATTTAAAGTTCATTCTTAAAATATAATTTTAATTGAATGTTTAGCAATATAAACTTTTTGTAGAGTTTTCATTCCCAGATGTCAGTTAAATGTAAGAAGACAATAAGAAATAATGAGCTGCACCAAATGGAATTTTGATAGAAATGTTGATTCTTTTGCTACAGTCTATTGCTCTTCTAGCCAAATGAAGTTATCTAAGTAATTAAAATTTTTCAGGGTAAGAACAGGGCAGTTGATGCATGATAGCCAGCATAATGATTACAGGATAACTTTTTTTTTTTCTTTGTGAGTTTGTGTGATTTTGAATGAGTTTTTTCTTTATTAATTTCAGCAGCACAGTCAGCAGCCTCCATTCAAGAGTTGATTCATTAGAAAAGTCAAATACTAAGCTGATTGAAGAGGTATTGTCACCTAGTAATGTATAATTATCTTTCATGGACCTAGTATTTGTGATCCTCTTTCTTTTTAAGTATCAGTGCATATATACATACACATGTATATCATCACCACCATGATGAAATACCTGTAATGTGATTATAATTGATGATTGTAAGTTCTAGAGACACCACGTTTTCTCAGGCAAATTCTCAGTGTTATGAATCTGTGAGATACTGTGTTTGAGATACTCAACTTCTAGAAATGACTGCAGTTAAGAATGTGTGTTCATCTTGATGGTTGAACTCCTGATTAGAACCATTCTAGAGCTGCTCACTAGTTGTGCCTCTTCTTAGCCTTAGGCACATTGTGAAGTTCAAGTTGTATCCCCAACAAACTATTCCAGAATTTGTTCATGTCCAGCCAACATTGCAGAGTGGTCCCTGCTTTTTGCTTTCTTAGGATTCCTCTTGTCATTCTGAGCCTCAGAGCCAGGCTACTTAGTCACTCATATGTTTAACTGCCCTGATGAGAGCCGTCTTGTATTTATCATGGTCACTCAAGTTGCTGTTATGTGCCTGGATTTCACGGCATGTCCTTATGGGTTACATGAACTTCTGTATTACATTTTAAATGATAGCACAACCTTCTTTCCTTATAGATATATTTCTATCTTTGAAAATGTCTTTAAAGTCTTATTGCTTAACACATCCTTTATATCTTTACTCAGGTACTTACATATTATAAGTCAGATAAGCATGAAACATTTAGACTACCAAAGGAAATTGTGGACATAAGAGTACAATTTCTTTAATTGGTATCTTGGGATAATAACGAGCACACTTTTCTTATGAAAGTGTCTGTAGATGGTGAGAGACACTTAAATAGTTGTAGGATTTTATTTTCTACTATTTATAACCATGAGCATAATCTGTAAACCAAGTAATAAAGATGCTTAAAGTCTTTTTTTTCTTGTCCCTGTTTCATAATTTTTAGTTAGCAATAGCAAAGAATAATATCATTAAGCTCCAAGAAGAAAATCATCAATTGCGAAGTGAAAATAAATTGATTTTAATGAAGACACAGCAGCATCTAGAGGTAAGTATAGACTGCTTTCAGACTGTCTGTGCAAGAAATTGCCACTTTTAGAGACTGTTACATAGACTAGATATTTCAGTACTACATATATACTAGTGATTATAGAACGAAATGTTTGATGGTTTCTTCCTAGGTTACCAAAGTGGATGTGGAAACTGAGCTTCAAACATATAAGCATTCTCGTCAGGGACTGGATGAAATGTACACTGAAGCCAGAAGGCAGCTTCGAGATGAATCTCAGTTACGACAGGTGGGTTACATTAAAGTTACATTAGCAAAATTCTGGGAATAATTTACTGTCAAACAATCACCATTTAAAATCTTTTTCAGCCTTATTTCGTGTGAGATATCAAATCCACCCCCGTAAACCAAAAGCCAAACTGATTGCTGTTGAGTCATTTCTAACTCCTGGTGACTCTGTAGGTTAGAGTAGAACTGCACCATAGGGTTTCTAAGGCTGTAAATCTTTACGGAAGCAGACTGCCACATCTTTCTCCTGCAGAGTGGCTGGTGGGTTTGAATTGCTGACATTTCGGTTAGCAGCTGAGCACTTTAACCACTGTGCCACCAGGGCCTCTTGTAATCCACTCCTTTAATCCCCTCAAATTCCCACTGTATCAGTGTTTTTAAACTATGGGTTAAAATCTATGGTCATTAAATGAATAGGTTGTGACCAGCATTAGAAAAATGAGATATAATAGACCGGAGTAACATATTTTAATGTTAATAAAATCATATTAAAAATTAACTAGCCTTTAACCTTTCTAATTGTGAAGTATAATACCTACAGAAAAATATAAATGTGCAGTATAATGAATTATAACGTAAGCACCTGTATTTCAAGAAGAGAGTATTGTCAGCTCTTCCATCCCTCTTGTTGTTGGTCTTTATGTTAAGAAACTTATTAATCTTCTGATACAAAACTCTTTAAGAGAAGAAATTAAAGTTGTAAAATGTGATTTTTTGGCCTTTACCTATACAGATTGCTTCATTTCCTTTTGCTTCAGGAAAATTAATATCGAATTTCTGAGGTACAAAAATATTTAATTATTGAACCAGTAGAATAATGATAATTAACAGAATATAGAAAATACTTTCATTTTAGCAAAAAAATATTGAAAATATTTAGAATATTATGTTGTTGTAGGGCCTGGTTGATTCACTTTAGTGGAGCTTATAATTTATTTTGATATGTCCAAATAGGCTGCTTGTGTGAGCTAGTTTGATTATTGGTGCCTCTGAAGCTCTTAATGTCCTGTCACTAGGTGGTTAGATCTGTTACTGAGTATGTGAGCACACGATTCCATTTACTTTTCTTGTGTGGATTCAGCTCAGGTGTCCAGGTAGTCAGTCACCAAGTATGTGGTGCAGGCTGTCACCTACAGTCTGAGACTGGTCTGGGTGACTGGTGTAGGCACAGGTATCTTGCTGCAGTAGGGAGTCATGCGCTGAGCAAGGCAAGGGGCTGACGGCTGCCCCTCAGTGTCTGGGAGGAAAGCATCTCCCTGTTCCCTAGAGCGTGTAGGTGGGTGGGTTTTGCAGCCGGACTGTGAGCACCCAGTGCTGTTGGCTGTAACGACTAGGGGACACCACTTATTCTTGGACGCCCATTGCAGGTGGCTAGGTGGTGTGGGTGGAGCCACCAGTCCTCAGGTCCCTGATGTGGGTAGGTGAAGACTCTACTTAATGGGCAGAGCAGTGTCAGATGTCACGAACCTGCGCCTTCACAGCTGAAACAGTTGAAGTTAGACTTCAGGTATATACCCTGTTGTACTGTGGTAATGAGGGCCTTACACTGCTGAAATTGGCCTACACAAGTCTATGCAGGGGTGAAAGGCACTCAAAGTCCGTGGACCCCTTATGCATGTGCCTAGGCAAACCAGCTGTGCCTACCCTGAGTTCCTGGCTTAGGGGAGCCAGCAGATTATTTTTTCCCGTTTGTTAATTTGTTCCTCTCCAAGGCCGGGAGAATGGCTCAGGGTACATGATGGGTCCTACTCGGCAGTCGCTGAATCTGTTCTGGACCTGGTGCAGAGCAGGGAGCGCGGAGGTAAATGGGAATGAGGTTTTTCCCAAAGGGAGGCATTTTTGATCTGTGTAGTAGGCCAGACCCAAGTGCTTATCTTTTGCCGATTGAGGGCTGCTTTTCACTGGTTCTGGATGCCCAAGTAGGCTCTCTGCTGCTGAGTCTCTCCCAATGTGGAAAACGTCTCCGGAGCGCCACTGCTTGCCTCACTGCGCACACGAGCTGATCTGGCCTGAAGGACTCTGGCTCCCGTGGGTTGGGTCTGGCAACTCCTCACCGCTTCCGAACCTTCTCTGCCTACCCCTGCCACTCAGTCCAATTCCTCAACTTTGCCTTTGATGTTCAGGGCTCCTTGATTGTCATATATAATCAATTCACTTGTTCTTTGGGTCTTTGTTGTAAGAGGGTCCACCAGAAGCATCTGACTACTCCGCCATCTTGGTCCCGCCTCTGGGGCTTATAATTTAAAAGGAGTGATCTACATACCGAATGGAAAAATCTTTCTTGATCTCATTAACTCTCTTCTATCTGATTTTTGGTATCCTGAAGTGGTATGTGAATTGAGGGCATTTTCAAATTGCAGGATGTAGAGAATGAGCTAACAGTACAAGTTAGTATGAAAAAAGAGATTGAACTTGCCATGAAGTTGCTGGAGAAAGACATCCACGAGAAACAAGATACTCTGATAGGCCTTCGACAACAACTGGAGGAAGTTAAAGCAATTAACATAGAGATGTATCAAAAGTTGCAGGTGAGGAATAATCTTAAATTCTTGGAGTTACTGGTCATATAAATAGAAAATTTATAGGAAGAGTTTGGTTTTTAAGAGAGAAGCTCATTTTAACTGTGCCAGGTTGGTTGTAAAAGTCAGTGTCTTTTTTTCTAAATGGAAGCCTAAGAAACGTAGTAATGCAGAAGTTACCAACAACAAAAAATTCACCTATCGGAATTTCTTTAATGCTGAAAGGTTAACAGTATGAGGATTAAATCTTTTGGGAAAACTCAATATAAACATGCAAGACATTTTTGTGAACTTCTTTATACGGTATAGGCATGAAAAAGATTTAATTTTTATTGAAATACTAACATAGTAATTGTAAATTTTCTATTAAAGTGAAATTACTGTTAAGTAGACTAGTTGCCAAAAGCTCGTTACAATTTAATTAATTTGAAAAATGGCATACTTTACAAGAATTTATTCTGTTGTATTCCAAAAACATTGAAGGCTAAGTTTTTTTTTTTTTTTTTCTTTATTACATTAAAAATGATGACCAGTAGTACTGTTGCTTTATATCCTAGGAGTAATTTAATTTACAGATTAACTCTGTTCATTTCAAAGAAACAGTCCATACCAAAATGTTATAAGAAACTTATAAATATTCAGGTTTAAAAATCAAAACCTCTATAGCTTTTATGTTTTTATAAATAGGGTTCTGAAGATGGCTTGAAAGAAAAAAATGAAATAATTGCCCAGCTAGAAGAAAAAAACAATAAAATTACTGCAGCCATGAGGCAGCTGGAACAAAGGTACAGAATTTCCAATCTTAGTTTCTTTTTTTCATTTCCTCCCTGCTTTTTCTTTATTCAGCTCTAACACCTGCCACAAAAACCATACTTAGGAAAATTTAGAGTTGGGTACTTTTTTTGTTTAAGCCCAGCAGGTTTTGCCCTTTTTGTTTTGATTGTTGCATGGAATCAAGTTGCTTTATATTAGGCTAATTTATTGAAGTTGCCATTTTGTAGATTTAGAAAAAGGGCCTAATACTGGCAATTTCATGTAGTTTAATCTATTATGTAAAACAAATACACCAAGGAAAACCTTGAAAAAATTAAAAGCAAACCATCAATGATGGGATTATCCCTGACTGATTTCCATGCATATTGATTGTCATATCTCTTGTCTTTCACCATCTCTTTATCTGAAACCAAGCATTCTGAGTTGGCAAGTTTAGTTTTGTTTCTTTGATAGGACCCTCAGCCCAGCCCAAGAAGAAATTTTGTTTAAATTGAATTGTTTTATGCATTTTTCACTTTAATTGTTGGAAAATGTAATGTATTTCCATTGCCCTGTCACGTTGGTGTCAACATACGTCCTTTCATTGCTTTCTTTGAATCTACTTATGAAAAACATAATTATTAATGCTTTATTGACATGAATATTCTTTTATTGACATCCTCTTTCTTCTTTTTTCTTTTTTATTTTCTTTATCCCCATTTTTACATTATGGACATCTTTATTACCTTTTTCTGTCTTTGATTTTTGTCCATTCCATTATGAAGTGACAACGATCTGTTAACTCAGACTAGGACAATTGCAATGTCATTGGTGAAATGTGCCAGCAATGACACCCAAGACCAGTACAAGCTGGTCAAAGATATATCTTTCTGAAAACCACTTATATTTAAATAGACTAAAAGAGAATCAACAATTTTATAATATATTAAATAGAAAAAAATTTATGCTATTAAGTATTCTAAGAGGGTATTAGGAACCCTGGATGCTTCTTGGTCAGCTGCTGTGGTAAAACACTGCCATAAAGCAGAGTGGGTGCACTTGGATTCCCAAAACTACATTCCTCAAACCTCGTGCACAAGGACTCATTTGACTGTTGACCCTTTGAAGGTCAAGATTCTCAAATGCAGTTTTATCGTTTAGCTACTTTTTGATGAAAAATATAAAAATTGTTTAAAAATAAGTTAACCTTTGGTTTCACAATGTGTTGGCACAGATAGTTTTTTCCCATTGACTCACTCTTTGCCTAATGTCTCCCTTGCTAACTTTGAAAATATGTTTTAAAATAGTTTATAACCTGGATTGACTATCTTCCTGTGCTTTAGCATCCTCAATTTTCCAGTTCCCTTTAGCTCTCTTCTGTGATAGCACAACTTCAAGGCCTACCTCACTCTGACTTTTATTTTAGTTTCTGGAACTTAATAGAGAAAAGCTTGGGCCTCCCCTGTTAATATTTTAATTTAATTTTATATTTAGAGATAACTCGAATGTTACTCTCTTTACCTTGGAAGTGGCATTTATACTTCTGAAATGTGTGAGGGATACCTCATTGATATGGTTTTAAGGAAGAAAAGAGGCAGTTTCTTTGGTTAATTGAACAGAGATTTCTCTTGTGATTCCCTACAAAGGAGTTAATCCCCCTTGAAACTTGAGAAATATTTTCTTATAAAAATACTGAAGTTAAATGTAAGGAATCCTAGATGGCCAAAGGAGACAGGGAGTGGAGCTAAGCACAGGGAGAAGCAATGACTTACAAATAAAAACAGAAAAAAATGAAAACCACCTTTTATGCTAATTTTAAAAATTCATTGGTGAGGGGAAAAAATGATCTAGGAATGATGCCAACTAGCACTAAGTTCTTTTGAATCTTAAGAAAAATGTATCTATATCTATATATACAGATTGGCATAATTTAGTAAATGCATTAAGAACCTGTAGGAAGAGCTCAGCTATTATTTGGAGTATTCGCAGGTCTCTGTTCTTGGCCTTGTAGCACACTTGATTCCTGGCATACATATCCAAGCATAATGTAAAACAGTGTGGCTTCTTCACTTAGTATAGACATAAGTACTATGCTTTTCATGGTTTTGTAATACAGTAATGCACCTGTTATACTTTGAAATTTGATTCCTTATGCTCTACCTAAGTGGTAAAAGCTGTATTGCTTTGCATTGTTAATATATGAACAAGAAATAAAACAAATTTGAAGATCATATTCTGGGCATATATACGTATATTGAAAATCACGAAACAATTTCTAGACATTGTGTGGCTCTTTCACATTTGAGTTTGTGAGTTTTCCCCCAAACTTTGTTTTCATTTAGAAATGTTTCTATTTCCCCATTTTTTTTTTGTCTTCTTCACCCTTTTACACCCTAGTTCTAGCCTCAGTTTTACCCAAAGTTGATTTGAATTACACCAGATTGCAGCAAGCAGAGAAGGCACACATGGAAGCTGAAGCTGAAGATGAGAAATATCTACAAGAATGTCTGAGTAAATCCCACAGTCTACAGAAACAAATCTCCCAAAAGGAGAAACAGCTGTGAGTATTTTGCTCTTGGAAACAAATGCTTATATTAACATAACTTCACCTCACCATCCCCTCCCTTTTTTTATGCATAATGGTAGAACACGAATATTTCTGTTTATCTAATGATGCCAACTGGATTGTGAGGTTTTCCTTAACAAACAAACAAATCAGAAAACATCATTATAATCATATTTACATTTTTATTCCCTTTATTGTTTACAGAGCACTTTCACTCACATTGCTTTTTTTAGTGCCTCATAGCAACCCTGTAAGCAGACAAAACAGGATAGGTATCGTATGTTCCCATTTTAGAGAGAAAGTAGATTCAGAGACTGTCCAACAGCTAGGAAGTGATCGAGCTAAGATATTAACCCAGGTCTTCCACTAACAGTCAACTCTCCAACCACTCTGTTTCACTGTCTTCTTGTGAGAGTTTTATTCTTTCTGTTGTTTAGCATTAATCAAAGGGCTATTATGTCTCTAGGTACTGAGTATAATAGGCCTTTGTAACTCTAAGGAACTTATATTATTAAAGAACAGTTGTTTCTAAGAACATTTTCATTGTGTTTTTAATCCGTTGTGCCAGTCTGTGTCCTTTAGTGATATATTTAGACCATTTACATTTAGAGTAATTATTGATATGTTAGAGCTTAAGTCTGCCATTTCATTGTTTTCTGTTTTCCCTCTGCGTTTTTGTTCCTGTTTCACTTCCCACCTTCCTGTGGATTACTTGAACATTATTTAGAATTCCATTTTGATTTATCTATAGTGTTTTGGGGATTCCTGGTGGCACAGTGGTTAAGAGCTCAGCTGCTAACCAAAAGGTTGGCAGTTCGAATCCACCAGCCGCTCCTTGGAAACCCTATGGGGCAGTTCTACTCTGTTCTGTATGGTCACTGTAAGTTGGAATTGGCTTGATGGCATTGAGTTTATAGTGTTTTTGAGTGTATCGCTTTGTATAGTTTTTTCAGTGGTTGCTCTAAGCATTACATTGTACATATGAAAGTTTTCAGTCTGCTGGTATCAACATTTTACCACTTTGAGTGAAGTACAGAAAGTGTACCTCTATTTAGGTCCCTTTATAAAATAATTTCCTTAAATATTTCTCTACGTATGTTGAGAACCACATCAAACAGTGTTATAATTTTTATTTGGACCATTAAAGATAATTTAGAAAAGTCTTTTTGTTGTTCTTTCTTCATTTCTGATGTTCCAAGTTTCTTTCTTTAATCATTTTCTTTATGTTTGAAGAATTTCATTTAGCCATTCTTTTAGGGTAGATCTTTTGGCAACAAATTCTCTTAGTTTTCTTTCATCTGAAATGGTCTTGATGTCACCTTTGTTTATGAAGTATATTTTCACTGGGTATAGAGTTTTGGGTAACAGTTCTTTTTCAGCACTTGAAAAATGATGTGCCGGTTTCTTTTGGCCTCCATGGTTTCTGATGAAAAATAGGCTGTCATTTGAATCACTGTTCTCTGTGGGTATTGTGTCTTTTCTCTCTAGCTGCTTTCAAGATTCTTTGTCTTTAGTTTTCCAAAGCTTTATTATCATGTTTCTGAGTATGAATTTCTTTAGATTTATCCTGTTTGAGGTTTGGTCAGCTTCTTGAATCTGTATTTTTTCAGCTCCACCTTTTATTTCCTCTCTTCTGGGACTCTGATAAGCAGGAGTGTTAAATCTTTTATTGAGTCCCGTGAGTCCCTAACACTCTGTGTTATTGTTTTTTCAGTCTGTTTTCTTTCTGTTGTTCAGATTAGGTAATTTCTGTTGTTCTGTTTTCAAGTTCATTGATTTTTTTTCCTCCATCAGCTTCATTCTTCTATTTAGCCCACCTAGTGATTTTTTTTTTTAATTTCAATTACTGTATTTTTAAGGTCTAAAATTTCCATTTGACTCTTCTTGATTTTTTTTCTTTTTTTTTTTTTTTTTTGCTGAGCCTTCCTATTCTTTCTTTGTTTCATTTGTTCTTAATTGTTCATGGAAGCAAATTCATAATGATTGCTTTAAAATTCTTGTGAGATAATTCCAAGTTTTTCTCATCCAAGTTGAGATTTCCCTGGGTCCTAGTACAACAAATGTTTTTCTAGTGCATCTTGAATATTTTGGGTATTATGTTGTAAGACTCTGGATGTTACTTAAATCTGTTTTACCAGCCCTTCACTGAAACTACACTGGCAGGGGAACATGGATGTTGACTCACACCAAATGAGTTTGTAAGTCTAGGACCACCCCAGGGGGACCATCCTGGAGAAGGGTGTCTCGTAACTGCTGTTCAGGGATTGAAGTCTAGGCTTTCCAGTCAGCCTCCACTGTGTAGAGGAGGAGTGGTGCCTTGTTACCGCTGGATGGGAGTGGAGGTCGAGGCTCTGTCCTTCTTGGTCTCTGCTTACACCACTCTGGAGAGGAGAGAGAGAAATGCCTCATTACCACTGGGGAGGGGTGGAAATCTAGGCTTCCCATTTGGCCTTAGCTGAAGAGGGGGAGGAAGGTCTTGTGACTGCCTCATGGGGGTAAAAGTCCAGGCTTCCCAAATGGCCTCCACTGACACTGTGGGAGGGGTGGAAGGGACACCTTGTTACTGCCAGGTGAGGGTGGAAGTCTTGGCTCCCTACTTAGCTTTTGCTGACAAGAGTCAGGGGCCTGTGGATTTTCTTCCCTGGTATTTTGCTGGAGTAAGGTGTTTGTTGTCAAAAAAGCTTATCTTGCTAGGCTGCCTCTTTTCTGGTCCTTTGGCAGAGGGAGCAGACTTTTCTTAGGACTTTTTTGTCTGTGCCTGTTGGTGTCTGGGTTGTGAGTCTCCAGCACCCAGTCTGAGCTATATAGGAAGCAAAAAGAAAACTCAGGAACTCACGCCATATTGTTTCTCAAGTCCTGGGGCTCCTAGCTGGTCTGCCTTCTTCTTCCACCTTTCAGAATCTTACTTTGTTTTCTGTATAACGTCCAGAGTTTTTAACCGTACTTAGTAGAAGGGGTAGGGAGAAATGACTCTATTCTGTGTTGTTTGGAACCAGAACTCTGAGATCTTTTTAGATCTACCACAAAATAATATTTCAGAAGTTGGTATACAGAGTAAGGCATTAGGCTAGGGAATATTACCTTGGTTGAAAGTTGGCATCATTTGTACATTGTGAAACTAAAACCCATCCCCCAGAAAACAAAAACAGCAAACAAACAATTTTCTCTTAATCATAAGCACTTTCAGAAAAGGACGGTCAGCACTTTCAGGGTTTTGTCTGGCCAGAAGAATCACAAGGTACATTTAAGTCATCAAGCTTGTGAATGGTGCCAAGGGCTTTGTTGTACATGTGTCTCTGCCCTGCAAATGAAAAGTGAGACGAGGATACTTTGCCAGTTAGTAGAATACAATCTTGAAACCCTGGTAGAGTTTGACAGAAGTATGGGTAAGACAAATGATGTTATTCTGCAGTGGTGCAGCTAATTGATCCCTGACTGAAGGAAGACCCAAGCAATGGAACTTCTGTTTTGCCGGCTAGTTTGCTTTCAGCTGAGAACTGGCATCTCCAGGCCTTCCTTGGCGGTGTGGACCTGCCCATTGTTTGCTTGGTCTTAGATCTGTCCTGTAATTGGTTAGCTTCCAAAGGTAAACTGCAGATTAGCACTTTGTGCCAGGACTGTTTTTCTGTTTCTGATGCTGCAACCATGAAATTAGTGATTTAGTGGTGGCTGCAATTCTTACATCAGAATGATACTTTTCATTAGTTTGTAGTGAAAAGTTTCATGACACAGAAATGTAAATAGTTAAAACCCCACTTTCCTCCACTTTTTTCCATTCCCAAACATGTAACCAGTTTTGTTAGTTTGGTGTGTGCCCTTCCAGGCATTTTCTATGCTTATATAAACAAGATGTTTACAAAACTGTATGCATTGTAAAATGACATAAATTATTGTTTAACAGAAGTTTTTGAGGTTGGCGAATAAATTGACACTTTGTGATCAGCAAACCCTGCGTGCTGCTGAACTTGTTTACCAAAAAATATCTATGAAAGAAAATGCCTGAAGAGATGAATTAAAAAGGGAAAAGTAGTTGACCAAGAAGATGCTCTTATTAAAGAATACATACAACTGTCGTGTTTGAGAAATAGCACTAAGCTTTTGTGTATTATTTTTCATTCAAGGGTACAACTGGAAACTGATTGGAAGATTGAAAAGGAATGGAGGCAGACTTTGCAGGAAGATCTTCAAAAGGAGAAAGATGCCTTATCTCATCTTAGAAACGAGACCCAACAAATCATTGTTCTTAAAAAAGTAAATAGTGGTAAAACTTTAAAAATTATATCTTAAAGAATGTTATTTAAAAAGATAATCAAACCTTAATTTAAATTTATACTAAGGAAACAGGATATACTAGTTATCTCAGAAATTATCAGAAAGGAGACTAGTGAAGTGAATGAAAAACAGTTAATACATGTGAGCAGCTATGAGAGCGCTTTGGATAAATAGTTCTTTTTCAGATAAAAAGCTAAAGGATGCTTGTTTCTAATTAATGGTATATGTACAGTGTGCTATTTATTGTTTCTTCTTTTTCTTTAATTACATTTTCTGTTTTTTATTGTTTTGAAGGAATTCCTTAGCCTCCAGGATGAAAATCAGCAGTTGAAAAAAGTATATCACGATCAAGAGCAAGCTCTTCAAGAACTTGGCAACAAACTGAGCGAGTAATTTTTCTTTTTTCCTTCAACTACATAGTCATTTTATAAAAGGTGCACAGGTACCAGACCCAATAAGCAGTAAATTTGAAATACAGGAAAGAAAGATATGCACTATTAAAGAGAAACAAAACAAAAACCATAAAGATTAACAAAGTACATGTATGTACATGTTGCATTGGAGGGATTTTAGTAAAAGTTATGTTCGGTTTAGTAGACTTTGGCTCCTAAACATTTTCTAGTAGATGTGGATGATGTTTTGAGTTAGCAGCTCCATCTTTGTGCCCGTATTCAACATAATGGCAAGTATTTGGGGTAAACTACTCAAGAAGGTTTAATTTAGTATTAAATGTACCACAGCCACATTTTTTAAAAAGTAGCATTACTTTTTTTTTTTTTTAAATTCAAGTAAAAATAAGAAAGCTACAATGGCCATAATCCCATCACCTGTATAAACCCCTCTGATGTGTTAAATGGTTAGGAAATTCAAATAGCATAAAAAGGTATAAAATAAACAAGTACCCTATCCCTCCCAAGTATCAGTCTCCAAAGGTGGCTAATCCCTGTACAAACCTATGTATAAGCATTCCATCATACATATAGAGAGACAGTTATGTATAAATATGTATATGTGTGTCTTTTTAAAAAATTCAACTAGAATGGAGACCTAATTGCTAAAGATGGGTACAGATTTATTCGTTTTTACCTTTACTGCTGAGATAACAGTCCCTAAAACATGGGTTCCAGTAGGGCCAGTTATAGGTCAGAACATATTTTATACTTTCTCAACTCTAGATCTCTTCTGTGATGACAAGAGTTTAACCAGGGCTGGAGAAGGGATCAGTGGCCCCTTTCCAGGTTTTCCTAGAGCTTACCAATTTATCTGCTGAAACACTTCTCCTCCTCTTCTTCCTGCTATTCCTGTGACTACATATTATCAGATTGAAAGTTAAGTAAAAACTATGAAGTGTAAATTATAAAAACTGTAAGTTAATACGCTGGATGATAAATATCTCTTTAAAAATGTGTTGATAGTGAGGGACTGAAGTTGGATAATTGTTTTTTTAAACTTTGCTTCTAACTTAACAGAATTGCCTTTAAACTTTATGTGGACCAGTTGGATGGGGGGTCGGGGAGAGCCTGATAGAATAATAGTGAAACGTATGGAATGGTTTCTTTGAGTCTTCTTTTAATTTTGTGACCAAAAAAAAGCCCCCAAACCCCATTGCCAAGTCAATTCCAACTCATAGCAATCCTATAGGACAGAGTAGACCTGCCCCATAGGGTGTCCAAGGAGCAGCTGGTGAATTTGAACTGCCAACCTTTTGGTTAGCAGCTGAGCTCTTAACCACTGTGCCACCAGGGATCCAATTTTGTGACAAGGGAATATTAATCTTTCAGAAAGGCTGCTCTTCAACTTACCATTGAGACTTTATAGTTTCAAGTTATTTAATACTAGATTTAAAAAATAGTATTCATTATTATCACTCACAGAGTGATCACACAGTGATATTAATGTGGAAAGAGAATGGGAGAATCAAGCAGACCTGAATCAGCATCCCTGTACCTGCTGTGTCACCTGGGCTCAGTGATATAATCTCTGTAGGCCCATTTCCCCATTTGTGAAATGGAGAGTTACAAAGTCCCCAGAGGGCCCTTTTCTTATTGATTGAGAGTGAGTTTGTGGCATCACCTAGCGCAGTACCTTTCCCTATCTCACCAGAATTATCAGTTTTCTTGTCTGTAAAATGAGCAGGTAGGTTCTGAAAGGTACTTTTCGATACTTACATTCTTAACTTGCAATTTTAAGTATTAATGATTTAATTAGAAAATTACTTTTAATAATGAAATAATTACTCTTATTGGCTTCTTATTGAAGGATTCTTATAAAGAGAAAATTTCTGATAGATTTTGGAAGACTTTAAACATTAACCAGTCTTCTAACTAAGGAGCCCTGGTGGCACAGTAGTTAAAGCGATTGACTGCCAACTGAAAGGTCAGTGGTTAGAATCCACCAGTGGCTCCTCAGGAGAAAGATGTGGCAGTCTGCTTCCATGGAGATTTACAGCCTTGGAAACCCTATGAGGTCACTATGAGTCAGAATCAACTCGACAGCAGTGGGTATAGTCTTCTAAGTAAATTATATTGTAGTGGATAGAATATCTAACTTAAGGATTAAAGAAATGAAAGTAAACCTGTAAAGAACTATTCATATTTGAAGAAAACATGGAATATGTGAAATATCAGGATGGAATATTCAAGAAAGAGAATGTAGATTCTGATGGGTGGCGACTCCATGTATTGCAGACTAGCTCTGCTCCATAGGGTTTTCTTGGCTTTAATTCTATATTCAGTTTTTCTATACTGTGCAGTTAAACCAGTCCTCTTGCGGCTATTACTCCCTCCAGAGTCAGTTTTCCTGGGTATATTTTACAGATGTAAATTCAGCAAAGAAAATTTGATTATTCTGTCAACATTTTTACAGTGTGTAGTTTTACATTGGTTACTTCCACCCTAAGAGTTAATACGAGCGAGGTAAAAGTCCAGCCTTTGTTTTTATATCTTGGAGCAAAGAGCATCTGTAGGACAAAGCAGGCTTCCAGTGTTTCCCTTCAGTAGCACACGTTAGTATTTTACATAACGTTTCATCCAGTGACTTTATTTCTAAATATTATCATAAGAAACATAATTCAGATGCTTTAATGAACAAATTGTAAGTTGAACAATAGATAATAATTACAGGTAGTCTCCAACTTACAATGTATTTGAGTTACCATGAACTGCACTTAGGACTGTCTGTTTTGTTTTTTTCTGTACATCTTATTGTTAGTAATATGTACTACATACAATATTGCAGTGCGAAATTTGCTGATGTTACCGTTCTCAGATGTTCACTTGCAGATGCTGAAAGATTGGATTTATAAAGATACTGATAATAAAAGGCAATAGTAATGAAAACAAAAGAGGTATTTGACTTACATCAGAACCGACTTACTAGAGAGTCATTGGAACGGAACCCCGTCGTAAGTCGGGGACTACCTGTATATAAACTATATTTTTTTCGTAGTATACTATGTAACCATTTAATATAATGATATGGCTTATACTTAAGAACAAGTCAGTAGCTCTAAACAGTTAACAGTTCAGGATATATTGTTAAGTGAAAAGAGCTGGTTGTGGAACACTAGATACTGATCCCATTTAAAACACACACACACATATACATAGACATGTATAGAAGATTTTCTCTCTAGTGGGATCACAGATAATTAAATATTTCTTTTTATAATCTGCATTTTATTAACTTTTTATCATTAACATATGTATTTTCAAAAGATGGACATCACAACTATAAAAACCAAAAAACCAAACCCATTGCCATTGAGTTGATTCTAACTCATAGCGACCCTCTAAGTCAGAGTAGAACTGCCCCATAGGGTTTCCAAGGAGTGGCTGTTGGATTCAAACTGCTGACGTTTTGGTTAGCAGCCAAGTTCTTAACCACTGCGGCACCAGGGCTCCATCACAGCTGTATCCTCCTTAATATTGCCCCTCCGCATGTGAAGTATTATACGCACTACTTCTCTAGCAGATGAAGAGTTGAGTGGCAGTATCACAACTATATCTTCCTCAGTATTGCCACTCAACTCTACGTCTGCTAGAGAAGTAGTGTGCATAATACTTACTATACGAGCTTTGGGGTCACACAGACCACACGGTTTGAATCCCAGCTCCCCCACTTACCAGCTCTGTGACCTCTTATAAGTGACTAAATCTCTTCAGGTGTCTCTTTCTTCATCTGCAAAATAAGAATAATGGACTGCCTACCTCATTAAGTTCTTGCAAACATTAAGTAAGATCATACGTTCAAAGGACATAGGCACATAGTAAGCCTACAATAAATGATAGCTATTATTAATATTGTAATAATCACGTTAAAATGCCAATTTTTTTCCTTAAAAAAGCAATTTTTAAATTAAAAAAGATATTTTTACTTTAAAACATTGAGAAAATATAGGAAAATATAAAATCCTACTAGGCAGAGAAGATCATTTGTATCGTATCCTATATACAATTTTATATCCTATGAAAAATGAATACTTTTTCTAATGAATTACTATGTGTTCTGTATTTAAAAATGTGTACTGAAATTTAGACCTATTTTAATCTTTTTAGATCAAAACTTAAAATAGAAGATATAAAAGAAGCCAACAAAGCATTACAGGTGAGTAAAAAATGTAGGAATGTGTAAGTCTATGTGAAAGTGCTCCAACCGAAGGTAAAACCAAACCAAAAACCAAACCCGTTGCCGTCAAGTCGATTCTGACTCATAGCGACCTTATAGGTGAAGCCCTGCATAAACACACCTAAGGTGTCATTACTGAATCCCAGGCTGTGTAGAGGTGGAAACTTTGAATGGAGAGCTTGGATGATGGAGTTCCAGCTCTTCCCCTCCCTGCATCTCTAGAATCTCGTTATTAATAACCTTTGAGTTGGAAATGACCTTAGAAATAATTTTGTCCACTTTTCTATATAGTGTGGCAGGATATACAACATGGGAGAAAATACAACCTTTTTGTGAGCACCTCGCAAGCTACCCATGTCATCTTTTACCAAAGTATTCGATGAAAATAGTCTTAGACATCAAATAGGGCAAAAAGTAAAAACAAAAAAAACTATCAGTCTCTTGTTCTTCACTTTCTCCTTCCTTACCTACCCCAACTTCTACCACCTGAAGGGAGCTCATTTCAGTTCTTTTAGCTGTTTCTTCTAGCATTTATCCCCTTATTTCTTAGTATATACTGTTTGTTCTTGATTCATCAGCTTTAGACCTTATCTGTTGCTCACTGTCACCCCAGTGTTTCTCTTCACTGTCCTCTCAGTATAACTAAATCTGTTTTTGTGGAATTATTATGACTGTTTAAATATCATTCCTTGCTGGGCCAGGTGGTGTACTATGATTATATTTTCTTTGTGAGCTACTTTTCCCCCTTCTGAAATTAATAATTGCCTCTTTTTCTTCCCTCCTCATTAGTTATTTTTGAACAACTGATTGAGTTTTCTATACCTTCAAACATCTCTGTAAAATGCTTCTTCTTTGTTTTTTTTTTAATTGTGCTTTAGGTGAAAGTTTACAGATCGAGTAAATTTCTCATACAAAAATTTATACACATATTGTTTTGTGACATTAGTTGCAATCCCCACAATGTGACAGCACACTCCCCCTGTCCACCCCAGGTACCCTGTGTCCATTCAACCAGTTCCTGTCCCTTCCTGCCTTCTCATCCTGCCTCCGGACAGGAGCCGCCCATTTGGTCTCCTGTATCTGCTTGAACTAAGAAGCACACTCCTCATGTGTATTGTTTTTTGTTTTATAGTCCTGTCTAATCTGTCTGAAGAGTGGGCTTCGGGAATGGTTTCAGTTCTAGGTTAACAGAGCGTCCGGGGGCCATAGTTTCGAGGGTTCCTCCAGTCTCTGTTAGACCATTAAGTCTGGTCTTTTGACGTGAATTTGAGCTCTGTTGCATGCTTTCTCCCTCTCCGTCCAGGACTCTGTGTGTTCCCTGTCAGGGCGGTCATTGGTAGCGGCCAGGCACCATCTAGTTCTCCTGGTCTCAGGCTGGTGGAGTCTCTGGTTTATGTGGTCCTTTAGTCTCTTGGGCTAGTATTTTCCTTGTGTCTGGTTTTCTTCCTTCTCCTTTGCTTCAAGTGGGATGGGACCAATTGATGCATCTTAGATGGCTGCTTGCAAGCTTTTAAGACCCCAAATGCCACTCACCAAAGTGAGATGCAGAACATTTTCTTAATAAACTGTTATGCTAATTGACCTAGATGTCCCCTGAAACCATGGCCCCCAACCCCCAGCCCCAGCTACTCTGTCCCTCACTCAGAGTGTTTAGTTGTATTCAGGAAATTTCTTAGCTTTTGGTTTAGTCCAGTTGTGCTGACTTCCCCTGTATTGTGTGTTGTCCTTCCCTTTGACTAAGATGATTCTTGTCTACTATTTAGTTAATGAATTCCTCTCTCCTTCCCTCCCCACCGTCATAACCATCAAAGAATGTTTTCTTCTGTGTTTAAACCTTTTCTTCAGTTCTTATAATAGTGGTCTTATATAATGTTTGTCCTTTTGTGACTGACTGATTTCATTCAGCATAATGCCCTCCAGATTCATTCATGTTACGAGATGTTTCGTGGATTCATTATTGTTCTTTATCGTGTAGTGTTCCATTGTGTGTACATACCATAATTTGTTTTCCATTCATCTGTTGATGGGCACCTAGGTTGTTTACATCTTTTGCTGTTGTGGACAGTGCTGCAGTGAACATGAGTGTGCATGTATCTGTTTGTGTGACGGCTCTTATTTCTCTAGGATATATTCCAAGGAGTAGGATTGCTGGATCGTATGGTACTTCTATTTCTAGCTTTTTAAGGAAGCGCCAAATCGATTTCCAAAGTGGTTGTACCATTTTACATTCCCACCAGCAGTGCATAAATGTTCCAGTCTCTCCACAGCCTCTCCAACATTTATTATTTTGTGTTTTTTAGATTACTGCCAGCCTTGTTGGGGTGAGATGGTATCTCATTGTAGTTTTGATTTGCATTTCTCTAGTGGCTAATGATCATGAACGTTTCCTCATGTATCTGTTAGCCACCTGAATGTCTTCCTTGGTGAAGTGTCTGTTCATATCCTTTGCGCATTTTTTAAATGGGTATTTGCCTTTTTGTTGTTGAAGCATTGCGGTATCTTGTAGATTTTAGAGATTAGACCCTTATCAGATATGTCATAGCCAAAAATTTTTTCCCAGTCTGTAGGTTGTCTTTTTACTCTTTTGCTGAAGTCTTTTGATCAGCATAAGTGTTTGATTTTTAGGAGCTCCCAGTTGTCTAGTTTATTATCTGGTGTTTGTGCATTGCTAGTTATGGTTTGTATACTATTTATACCATGTATTAGGGCTCCTAGCATTGCCCCTATTTTTTCTTCCATAAGCTTTATTGTTTTAGACTTTATATTTAGGTCTTTGGTCCATTTTTAGTTTTTTGTATATGGGGGGAGGTATGGGTCGTGTTTTCTTTTTTTTTTTTGTAGGTGGATATCTGGTTATGCCAGCACTATTTGTTAAAGAGACTATCTTTTTCCCGTTTAATGGACTTTGGGCCTTCGTCAACTATCAGCTGCTCATAGGTGAATGGATTTACGTGTGGGTTCTCTATTCTGTTCCATTCTTCTATGTATCTGTTGTACCAGTACCAGGCTGTTTTAACTACTGTGACAGTATAATAGGTTCTAAAACCAGGTAGTGTGAGGCCTCCCACTTTGTTCTTCTTCAGTAATGCTTTACTTAGCCAGGGCCTCTTTCCTTTCCATATGAAGTTGGTGATTTGTTTCTCCATCTTATTAAAAAAATGCTGTTAGAATTTGGATTGGGATTGCATTGTATCTGTAGATCACTTTGGGTAGAATTGACATTTTCCAGTGTTGAGTCTTCCTGTCCATGAGCATGGTATGTTTTTCCACTTATGGAAGTCTCTTTTGGTTTCTTGCAGTAGGATTTTGTAGTTTTCTTTGTACCGGTCTTTTACCTCTCTGGTTAGATTTATTCCTAAGTACTTTATCTTCTTGGGGGCTATTGTAAATGGGATTGATATGGTGATTTCCTTTTCAAAGCTCTTTTTGTTGGTATGGAGGAATCCAGCTGATTTTTATATGATTATCTTGTATCCTGAAACTTTGCTGAAATCATCTGTTAGTTCCAGTAGTTTTCTTGTGGGTTCTTTGGGGTTTTCTGTGGATAAGATCATATCATCTGTGGATAGGGATACTTTTACCTCTTCCTTACCAGTTTGGATGCCCTTTCTTTCTTTTTCTTGCCTTATTGTTCTGACTAGGACCTCCAGCACAATGTTGAATAAGAGTGGTGATAAAGGGCATCCTTGTCTGGTTCTCATTCTTAAGGGGAATGCTTTCAGTCTCTCTCCATTTAGAATGATGTTGGCTGTTGGCTTTGTATAAATGCCCTTTATTACGTCCAGGAATTTCCTTCTATTCCTATTTTGCTGAGAGGTTTTTTTGTTTTTTTAAAAAAAAAAAAAGATGGTGTTGTGAGATTGTTAACCACTGTCATAGGGCAACATTTGTAGTAACTGTCAAATGGGAGACTATTTTGTCCTGTAAGCCTTCATCTTAAGTGAGAATAACAGCATAATTAGAAG